TTCTGTTCTTGTTAGCAATTCATTTGTTGAGTTGTTTAGTATTATGAAGAATCTATGGAGAGAAGAAAGAAACAGAATGAGACCAGAACTTGTAAAATTGAAAATCTTTATCTGGTTTAATAATAAACTATCATGATGGAGTTTTATAATTTTATTTTGAAATTGAAAAAATTTCTGGCAGCAAAAGATAGCAAAAGTATTTGTTTAAGAAAAATAAAAATAGTAATAACCAATAAGTAATTGTTATTCCTGCACTTTATTTGTATTTTTGTTTGCATTATATATTAAAGCAACTTTAATAATAGTATTTAACCAACTGTTATATTGTCAGATAGGTGGGAGAGGGGAGTGGCAGCTTCTGGCTGAGGTACCTGATGTAGTTTACATTTTTTTTTTTTTTGTTGATAACCTTAATACTGTAGTATAGTATTAAATTAACAAATATTATTAATTGAGTAGAAATTAATGAGTATGTTTACAAGCACTTTCAATGAATCATTAAACAATCTTTATCATTTTATTTTATTTACACATTTGATGTATATTGTCAGTATAAAGGTAAGTACACACTTGGGCAAACATCAGGACATGCTAAGCAGACAGAATCACATATATGTGCACACACTTAGTTACATTTCAGTCAACACAAAAAAACCTTTTTAATATCCCAGTATGAACAAATTTAAACAAAAACGGTTTCGACTATAAACTTGGTCTTCATCAGGCTAATGACCAGTATAAAATTTGAAACCGGAAATTCGAACAAAGTGTTTATAAAGTGTTTATGAGGACCAAGTTTATGGTCAAAAACATTCGTTTTGTTTAAATTTGTTTATACTGGGATATTAAAAAGGTTTTTTTTTGTGTTGATTTATCTTCCCAGGAATTGTGTGAGAGGTTGTTACATTTCAGTGATGGATTGAGTGGAATTTAGAGCAAAAGAAGGATTGAATGTATTCAAACAATACATCTTTTCAGTATGAATAACATTCACAAAAAATTAGTGGTACACTGCTGCCTATTATTAGAAAATGATGATGTAAATTATATAATTTTAATAGTTTTCCCTAGAGAAATTAAAGTTGCATCTGCATTAATTGTTTTTTTAATAAATACACTAATAAAAGTAAAACTAATAATGGAAATGGACACAACAGACATTGCTTTCTCTCAAAAATAAAAAATAATGATTTCTGTCACTAAGTGGAGTGCTGGAGGTTTTGAAATCTGGACTGCTGCATTAGTAATTTTTATAGTCATTCAGGGCAGACAGAATGGAAATATTGCATCCTCCTGTGCAACTCATCTCTATCTGTCCTCCCGCCTAGTATGTGTGCTTACCTTAATTGTTTTTCTTTATTAACTGAGAATAATCTATTTAGATCATAAAAAGTTTACTCTCAAGAAATGTAGTGAGAATTTGGCAAATGCTATAAGCCAGTGCTGCATGATTCTATTTACAAATTTTTAATAAGTGGTAATCTGTTGAGTCTGTGTATAACAAAACAGAACTGTGAAGAAAAAATTATACAAGGAAAGATTTGAGACATTCAGATATGTTCAGAAGTGAATTCCATGAATTCTTGTGTTTATATCTCAAGAGATTGGACTATCTTATTGTTTCCTTCATACAGCTATAAAAAGAATCAAATTTTGACCTCTTAAAGCAGGGATCACAAACTGGTGGTCCACGGGATGGATACAGCCTGTTAAGACTTCATATTCAGCCCATGGCCTTGATTTCTTTTCTAAAAATCAATGTTTCTAACATCTTGCAGGGATTAACTAGTTAAAACAAAAAATTCAAATGTCTGTTTACATAAGTCATGACAAAATGGCCTTTGTTAGAGCCTTTTTTTTTTAATTGTTTTCATTTACCAAATAATATTGAATACAGCCTGCATCTGATATAAATTTATTTGATTTGCCTTTTGCTGTATTTCAGTTTGAGACCTCTATCTTAAAGTTTTTCATAAACATTTTTGTTTATTTATTTAGAGTTGCTAATGTTATCCCTCAAGTTCATAGTAAAAATTAAAGATTTAAGTGTTTTTAGCAGCACAGTAAGAAGAATGGCCAGCACTCATTATTCTTCTTGCAAATAAACTTTGATTATCCTGTATGAGACATCACTTTTCTATAATTAATAATGATCATTTTATTATTATGTTTTTTATTTACCTGTATTTATGCTTTCTTGTTATTTCTTTTTATGTAGATGGTATGAACATATGAAGGAAATACAGTAGAGCGTCGATTTTCTGAAAGTCAATCATCCGAAAGAATTCCAGTCGGCAAATTTAAATTTTCGCCAGTGCTGTGGCGCTTCAATCTTTGGCTTTGTCTTTGGCTACTCAAATATTTTACGTTTTTGATAAATTAACATCAGAAGTATAATTTTTTATTGTTTTTATATTTTTCAATATATTTATTTTGATTGTACAAAATAAAAAAAATAATTTTTAACGATACAATAGTCTTCGTTAGGCTTAACATCGACGAAAATTCAATGCGAAGCGACACTCAATGGATAAAAATTTTAACAACGAATACGTTAAACTATTTTTCCATACATAAATCGGTTATCCGAAATATCAGTTATACGAACAACCCCAGTCCCCAATTGATTCGGAAAATCGACGCTCTACTGTAATAATATATATTGTTTAAGATTTTTTTTTTATTTTGATGTTCTACAGCATTTATAACAATCAAAAAGTAAGAGGAGACATATTTTCTTTTTATGATTGTCTTCTGGGTGAGTGAAATCAACCCTGAAAGTTGGATGTGTCAATTATGATTTTAGCATTTCATACAGAAACACTCATCCAATTTGAATAAATCCAACACAGAAGTTGTACTTATAACAAGTAATGATAATTTTAATATATTTTTAAAAACTGCTTTTATTGGTCATGTTTTTCAAGATTAGGGTGGACCTACTCCATATATATCACTACAAAGCATTTACACACACTCATCATAATTAAATTATACGTTTGGTTATGTTTATCAGGTTTTGGGTTGGGGAGGATGGTGGGAGTGGGGCCATCTAAAACCAGGGGCAGATCTACATAGAGACTAATAGAGCTTAAGCCCTGGGCCCCAAAAGTCAAGGATGCACAAAAATTGAATTATTATCATAAATTTTTAATACTGTTTCATGAACAATGAGCACTTATCATAGAGTAAAAAATAGTTAATATTAATAATATAATAATAATGATAATTTATAGTATTATTTGTTTTATTGTAATCAATGTAATGTAATTGATCAGTTTGTTTAGTTATGGCAATGCAACACTTGTTGTGTTGCCATAACTAAACAAACTGATCAATAAGGGAAACTGGTCAATAAGGGAAATTGATCAATAAGGGAAAATTTAAGGGAAACTGGCCTCTATTTAGGTGTTACAAATGTGGAGAAAACCCGGAAAACTCCACATGGCCAGACCATTTGAGCGAGGTGTGAATTCATAACTGAACTGTCAGTGTTCAGGGTAAGAAGACCACTTGGCCACTGGTGGGCCAATTGGTCAGTAATTAATCAATGTAAATATTTCTTTATTATGTTTTTCTATATAAGGTATAAAGTTTGTCATTCAACAGCATTTCATAAATAAATAAATTTCAACACTGATTTTGATGTTATTAAAAATGAATTTTAAACCCCAATTTAAAGATTCTTAATCTAACAAAAAATAGGGCCCCATTGGACTTCAATAAGCCCTAGGCCCCAAAAAAACTAGATCTGCCCCTTCCTAAAACAGTATTAAAAAGTATTGTCATCTGACTTAAGTATGTCCTCTAAGTTACAGTCTTCTATCTTAATTAGGAGGAGATGAAATTTGAGTTGCAAGTTTTGACTGGCCCTTTGCTGAATTTGAGTTTGAGATCCCTGCCTTAAAGTAAAGATTTTACATAAACATTTTATTTATGTATTTATTTAGAGTTGTTAATGTTATCCCTCAAGTTCTTAGTAAATAAAAATTAAAAATATGATACAAAGCATGTTAAAAATATTTAAATATAAAATAGATTTTTAAATAAGCTTAAAATAAAATATCAATCATTGTTCCTATTTTTAATAATATTTTTTAAAGAGTTGTCCATTGTAGTAGTAGATTCAGAAAAACCCAAAGGAAGGCTAGGTAAAAAATTAGAAATATTTGAATAATTAATAAGGACCTTTTATTAACACATGCCTGATGATTGAATTTCAGATTGTCTGATAACCATATTTGCCATCATAAATGTTTTTAAAAACAACATTTTGAAGTTTGAATGAATAAATTATATACATTATATTTTCTGTATCAGTAGGGATTATACAATCCCTCCCTACTGACACAGAAAATGATCGTACCCCTGGATTTGCCCATGATCTATTGTATTTTTACAAATTTTAAAAGTGATAATATACTTCAGTTTTTGTGATTACATAATCTTAATTTTTATCTGCTACAACTTCACTTTCATTATGGAGTTTTTATGGGATTTGAATAATTCATAGAGATGATTGAACTCCATAAAAAATTTCTCTATATTTTAATAATGTTAATAAAAACATATTTTTGATTACTCATTATATTGATTTTACATGAAACTGTAAAATTGCTACTTGACATGCCAAACTTTCAATACTGATTTCACTCTCTGAAAATGCTTTCCTTGTAATACAAACAAAAAATGTCTTTCTCTTAGTTTTGATACTCTACAATAATGATGCCTAAACTTTTCAATTGGTAAGCTAATTTTGCATAAATCAAATGTAGGTATAAGTGATATGTCAAATATGTTTGTGTACCTGATTGTTGCCAGATTTGGCACAAGGGCCATAGTTTGAACACCTCTATTCTACAACATGTATAAAAGTCATCAAAATCAGAGAGGGATACTTGGGTTATTATTATAATTAATATAGTATATATTAATTTACCTGTATATTAAATAATTTGAAGATTTTAAACTAAATTTTCTAATTATATCTGTTTTTTTAGGAGCCATTTATGGAGTCATTTTAGAGTGGGACTACAGTTTTCAACATTTGGGTGGTTTTGGCCTTAAATCTATTTTATCATTGATTGCACCTCACTTTGCTTGGGTACTAGGTTATGTATCAGCTTATGGCTTCTTAGTTGCAACTCTTCACACTATGGGTCTAATTGTTTTAACACTAACAACATATCTTCTTGTAATGCAATCAGTTTGCATTTATAGAGGTCAAACTTTGCATGAACGTAAATATAATATTTTCAGTTATAATTTAGGATGGAAAAGAAATTTTAAAAATATTTTTGGCACACGGTGGTATTTAGTGTGGCTATCAGCATGGTTAAAATCACCTCTTAGTGGAGATGGATTAAGTTTTCAAAGGTTAGAAGATATAGAAGAAATTAAAGACATTTGATAAGTTTTTTTTTAGCTTTTATTACAATTTTTTAATTAATTGTACAAGCCAAACATTGCTAGATAATTTATCATAATTTTGAAAACTATTTTGTCAATACTGATGTATATATTTTATTCTTTATAAATTTTTAAATAATTTATGAAATTGCACTTGAAATTCAGAAAATGTATATCATAATCATTACAATAATTTAATAAAGTTATTTTATATAATTTACTTTTGTTTAGTTTTTCCATATATGTATTCAAATAACACAATTGTAGTTAATCTTTTCAATTTAAATATAGACTAGACGCAGTTTNTATAAAGTTTGTCATTCAACAGCATTTCATAAATAAATAAATTTCAACACTGATTTTGATGTTATTAAAAATGAATTTTAAACCCCAATTTAAAGATTCTTAATCTAACAAAAAATAGGGCCCCATTGGACTTCAATAAGCCCTAGGCCCCAAAAAAACTAGATCTGCCCCTTCCTAAAACAGTATTAAAAAGTATTGTCATCTGACTTAAGTATGTCCTCTAAGTTACAGTCTTCTATCTTAATTAGGAGGAGATGAAATTTGAGTTGCAAGTTTTGACTGGCCCTTTGCTGAATTTGAGTTTGAGATCCCTGCCTTAAAGTAAAGATTTTACATAAACATTTTATTTATGTATTTATTTAGAGTTGTTAATGTTATCCCTCAAGTTCTTAGTAAATAAAAATTAAAAATATGATACAAAGCATGTTAAAAATATTTAAATATAAAATAGATTTTTAAATAAGCTTAAAATAAAATATCAATCATTGTTCCTATTTTTAATAATATTTTTTAAAGAGTTGTCCATTGTAGTAGTAGATTCAGAAAAACCCAAAGGAAGGCTAGGTAAAAAATTAGAAATATTTGAATAATTAATAAGGACCTTTTATTAACACATGCCTGATGATTGAATTTCAGATTGTCTGATAACCATATTTGCCATCATAAATGTTTTTAAAAACAACATTTTGAAGTTTGAATGAATAAATTATATACATTATATTTTCTGTATCAGTAGGGATTATACAATCCCTCCCTACTGACACAGAAAATGATCGTACCCCTGGATTTGCCCATGATCTATTGTATTTTTACAAATTTTAAAAGTGATAATATACTTCAGTTTTTGTGATTACATAATCTTAATTTTTATCTGCTACAACTTCACTTTCATTATGGAGTTTTTATGGGATTTGAATAATTCATAGAGATGATTGAACTCCATAAAAAATTTCTCTATATTTTAATAATGTTAATAAAAACATATTTTTGATTACTCATTATATTGATTTTACATGAAACTGTAAAATTGCTACTTGACATGCCAAACTTTCAATACTGATTTCACTCTCTGAAAATGCTTTCCTTGTAATACAAACAAAAAATGTCTTTCTCTTAGTTTTGATACTCTACAATAATGATGCCTAAACTTTTCAATTGGTAAGCTAATTTTGCATAAATCAAATGTAGGTATAAGTGATATGTCAAATATGTTTGTGTACCTGATTGTTGCCAGATTTGGCACAAGGGCCATAGTTTGAACACCTCTATTCTACAACATGTATAAAAGTCATCAAAATCAGAGAGGGATACTTGGGTTATTATTATAATTAATATAGTATATATTAATTTACCTGTATATTAAATAATTTGAAGATTTTAAACTAAATTTTCTAATTATATCTGTTTTTTTAGGAGCCATTTATGGAGTCATTTTAGAGTGGGACTACAGTTTTCAACATTTGGGTGGTTTTGGCCTTAAATCTATTTTATCATTGATTGCACCTCACTTTGCTTGGGTACTAGGTTATGTATCAGCTTATGGCTTCTTAGTTGCAACTCTTCACACTATGGGTCTAATTGTTTTAACACTAACAACATATCTTCTTGTAATGCAATCAGTTTGCATTTATAGAGGTCAAACTTTGCATGAACGTAAATATAATATTTTCAGTTATAATTTAGGATGGAAAAGAAATTTTAAAAATATTTTTGGCACACGGTGGTATTTAGTGTGGCTATCAGCATGGTTAAAATCACCTCTTAGTGGAGATGGATTAAGTTTTCAAAGGTTAGAAGATATAGAAGAAATTAAAGACATTTGATAAGTTTTTTTTTAGCTTTTATTACAATTTTTTAATTAATTGTACAAGCCAAACATTGCTAGATAATTTATCATAATTTTGAAAACTATTTTGTCAATACTGATGTATATATTTTATTCTTTATAAATTTTTAAATAATTTATGAAATTGCACTTGAAATTCAGAAAATGTATATCATAATCATTACAATAATTTAATAAAGTTATTTTATATAATTTACTTTTGTTTAGTTTTTCCATATATGTATTCAAATAACACAATTGTAGTTAATCTTTTCAATTTAAATATAGACTAGACGCAGTTTGTAAACAAAATCATTGCCATCGGGTATCTACCGGAAGAAAAGCGAGTTCACTTCCTGTTAGAATGTATTCGAAGTAAACATCGAAAGTTAACAATTATTGTCTGAAATACTGTAGTTACTAATTTGTTATTGATTTTACTTGGGAACATTTTAAACATAAAAACGATTAAAGAGCATATTTTAAAATGTTAAAAAATTTTTTCGTGCCGCCTTATAATGATATGGTAAACATAAAATTCGAATTCAATTATTCTAATGCTATCCGGCGAACGAAGTCAGTCGTTTGTCTGACTTGGTAGAAACCATGTCCATTTATGGATCAATTACTAAGCATACAAAAATTTATATGTTTTTAATTGAGGGATTTGTGGAAAGACAACTTATCACATACTAAGTTTTCGAGAAAATGGAGGATTTGTGTTTCAATTCACGAGCACTTTAATTAATATACAAGTTTTAATGTGGATGATCCGTGAAAGTTTAGAAGACAGCTTGATAACGCACAAATCCAAATTTGTTAATAACTCGTGTTTTATATATACATATATAGTTTTGTGGGATACATCGATTTTCCACTTGTAAGTATCTCAATTATTGTATTTTTATTTTAAAAAATGGTCCTTATATGTATCTTGGTGAGGTTTTCGCCTGGCAAACAAAATTCGATGTAAAATATTTTCTGAGTTGTCGTTAAATAAATAGAAGAAATTATGGACATTGCTCCTATGTGGCCAGATGTTTCTCATTTCATTTGCTTATCACATAAATATGTTATTTTTTTTTTTTTATCAAACTGCACATAACATCTTGATAAATATTCTGTTATAAGTAAGGATTATATACTGTATTGATACTTGCATATTATGGATAAATTGTTTATATTCGCGTAAAATTGTATAGTTCTGTAATGCATGGAATTTCATTTTTGAATCAAACTTATAAAATTATAGTTCGAAATAATTGCTTAGGATATAAGAGATAATCTATATTCTGTATTTTCAAACGTTAAATTGTATTTAGTGTAAAGTAGATGTGACAAACATAAGCTAGTGTACTTCGATGCATTTTTTTTCCGGCTTGCGAAAGGCAAGAAGAGTTCACTTCTTTCGTAAAAAGTTATCGCGTGTATTATTATACTGTGTAAGCTTTTACATCCGATTTAACATAAATGAAATTGTCACATAATAAAAATTTCGCTCTTGTTTTTTCTTACATTTCTAACATTAGGAAAAATTGACCTGAATCAAATGATATATAATTTTCGCCTTTAATCGGTTCTACGTACAAATTAATCTAAAGTAAATGATAATGCAGTTAAAAAATCATACAATATCTGTAAATAGTGTATGTAAATGTTTTGTCATTTTATATTATTAATAGGCCTATATAGTTTTAATAATTAGTAAATTAATACAAATGAGTTTACAATAGTTTTTAATCTCAAAATTCTATTAGAAAATTGTCTGTTACAGAATAGTTTTTACTTTCCCGTCAGTTATGTAAACAACAAGTACAGTATTGGAATCGTGTCAACTCCACGTTTTGAGATCTGAATCCAAAAAAGTCAACGGAAAAAAAATTCCGTGCACTTACGCGTGCGTGGGCGTCTATTTCGTTTAATATCTCAAGATGGGGCAATCATTAAGAAACGAAATTTGGAATGGTAGCTTGTGTATAAGAGGAATTAATGCTCTTAAACTTTGGTGATTAAAGGTTGAGGGGATGGAGAGATAGAAGGATGTCATGTCATATCTCGAGAGGGATCGGACTTAATGAAGATATTATCCATCATTAACAATTACAATTTTTTTTTTTGTATGAAACTCATCGCTACCCTCAAAATTAAACTTTGTGCTATTTGATGATAAATAAAAATATAAAACTTTTTAAAAATAAAATCCCCTAAAAGATGGCGCCACAGATAATTTTCTTTCTTTTTTATCTTATTAATATGGAGACTCTAGCCTGTTGGCTTTTTCTTCGAATACAGATAATTTTATTCATTCAAGGTTTATAAATACACGGTCTGGACACGATACCGTGATGCATTGAGGCAGTCGCCATATTGGTTCCTTTGTGGGTGTGTAAACGGTGTTTATAGAGCGAATTTGGCTGTATTTTTTCAATCTTAATTAACTCTTTATCTATTTTTGTTTTAAATTGTTTGGTGTTAGACACCGAATTGTAAAATTTCATCAGCAAAAGGTTGTTCCGTTTTCTCGCTAACAAAACCAGGAGAGCCTAATGGTTTCAATATTGCAGAAGAGCAAAGTACAACTAAGAATCCGAGACTGTATGAGGTTAATGGATAAAATAATGTGGAAATATGCATTTACGAAGTGTTTGCAATAACTTTATAATCTAACGCAGGAGTGTCAAACTCAAACTCCTTAAGTGCCAATTTTTTGTCTGGAGTATGACAGTGGGCCAGATGTTTTTAGCTTTAGTAGCCAAAAATTTTCTAAAAAGTAGCCCAAAAATAGCCGACTCAAAAAATTCCTTTTTAATAATCCGAGATTTGACGATAAAATAATAAAAAAAAACACAAATCGTACTTTTCCAGCAATAACTTTAATTACAGTACAAACATTTTCGGCCACTTTACAGGCCTGAAATAGGTCTGTAAACTGATCTGAAAATAAAAAATCTAAGACTCA